GAATCACCCAATCACAAAATATAATAGCTTTATTATTCAATAGGACTGAATCTGTCAAACCCACAACACCATGGAAGACTGAAATGAACCTTTAGGTGGATTAGACACTACAAAATGCACCGTTTTATTACAGAAGTGCTCATAGACTCTAATTAAGAAGTTGAGGATGAGCTCTTTACACCATATAAGGAAGTGTATCTGATGCGTGTATCAGGAAATAAAGTAGGGGTCATAACAAGATACAACCCATTGCCAAAAAATGACTTAACCAAATCAAAAAACACTACTAAAGACTTCACTGCAATTGCTATGCGTTATGTGAAGGACATTATCGACCATTTGACACAAGTAAAAGATATCGCATTGCCTTACCGTCTCCTCTGGCTGGTCCTTTAAACTGAGTTTTGACGGGGAGTAAAGCCATGTTCCCCACCAGCCTCGTTTCGGGGGCCATCAGGTTTGAGTGATACGCCTGAAAAATATTAAAAGAAAAAGTTTCTGTCACCTGATTTCTTTTGGAACATTTCTGCCAGATAGCATCATTGCTACTATGCTAGCCTGGTTTAATGGTTATGTTATCGTAGAACCAAATAATAAGAAGTAGTATAGGCAGCGTGCTAAAACCTATTTCCAACAAAGCATCAAACGCGAATTTGCGCTTCCTGACATGTCAAACATCGTTAAATTGCGACCCAAATGGTTAGGTAATTAGCGAACTATGCTAACGTTAACTCGGAGGCCCCTTTTTCCTACTCGGTGGGATTTCAGTGCAATATTTTTGCTCTAAACCTAGCAGTAAAGTTCTCTGCTCGTCAATAATAGTGTGTTCCTTCTTATTTTTACTCACCGGCATGTTGAATGATAACTATCAGTCCAACTGCTCAGCGACAGAAATATTCCAACACTTGCAAGATGCTGCTTCCGTGCTGTCCCACCCTTCGGCTTTACAGGAAGTGGCCACGTGTCATGTGGCGTATCAACCAGCCGGGGGCGCTAAATAAACACTTTACATCACACGGGCGGCAAAACGTGTATTTTGCGTTGCATTTTATTCAAAAAAATATAATAGCAATATTTTTTAATAACTGCTAAGCATTTAAATGCATCAAACCACTGTTTTAAAATATACTTTTAAATGAATAGCTTCATTTTCATCAAAACAAACAAACAAAAAAAAACATTATTCATGATATCCACAATCTTCTTCACGTGTCCATTTCTCAGTATCCATCCAGCTACAACAAACAGTCCGATGGAACTCCTTTGCCAGTCTTACTACACAAAGTCTGTATTTGCAGGATTGGCCGTACTCCGCCTCAGCTGTTCACTTTGTCTTGAAAAATCTCATCATAATTTAGGTTAGCAGGCTGTTCCTCAACCTCCTGTAGGAAAAGAAGGTGATGAACAAAAAAAACTGGTTGATCATGAAAAGTTAGATAATGCATCATGTGTGTATATATGTGTATATATCTATCTATATCTATCTATCTATATATATATATCTATATATATA